CCCCAGTACCTTCATTAAAAAAATTTAGGAAGGGGGAAGGAAAAAAATGGGAAAAGAAGCACTAGGAAGTCAGCAAGGTAGCCTGTTTAAAATTCCAGCTTTCGAGTCCCGTGATCCCATTTCACACCAATTCATTTCAATCACAACTTCCAGGCTGGGGTATCTCCCTTAGACCAGCTAGGAGGGGCCCTGTCCTGGGCTCCCTACGTTAAAGGCACCCTGTTCTGATCCTCTTTTTCTGGAGTTTCTCCCTGTCAATGAGGACTCTGTCTGGCAGGTAATGAACTTGGCTGGAAACTGCTCCTCCTCCTGCATCCCAGGTGTCGCTTCTTCAGGGGAGGTGGGCCAGGCCACAAGACTAGCATGGGTACCCAGGGGGCCGAGGCATGGACAAGGGTCAGCTGAACAATGGACGGGGAGGCGGGAATATGGGCAGAGGCTGGAAACGTGAGCTCTGACCCCTGCGATGTGCCATCAGGAGTCACGTGTTCTGATCTGAACAGCTTCCACATCGCTGTGAAAATACATTGGTTAATAATGGAGGAGAAAACACGAATTATTTAGCATGCAAGCTATTTAAGTTTGTTGGCGTGATTTATAGCTTCCATCCCTGGAAGCATATGTTACAATATGATATTCAGTATGATTTGCCCCAAGTCCTACCGTGGTCAGAGAAAGTACTGTCTCTTTGTATGGCCTGCAGTAAATTTAATAACCTCTATGAACCACAATTTTTTTCACCTATAAAACAGGATAAGAAAAATTATCTTTGGCTTGAAGTTACTTTTATAGTATTTATAACAACACAGAATATAGATTAACTAATCATCAAATAAAATTTATTAATCTTTTACCCTAGACAGATAATCAGAGGAAAAGAAAAAAAAAACAAAATGGAAAACAAAAGCCAAAACCTTCAATACTTATATTTTAATAATATTCAATTATAACGACTCACAAATGTCTTGTTACTCTTTCGAAAAAAAGGCAGTCCACCTTCTTGACTGCCTCAAACCAAGAAAAGCCTTGACAGTCAGAAAGCACCGATTTATTCTTGGCTTTGCCAATATCTAATCTACCCAAAGACAGGGACTCAGCAAGTTCTGGGATGGAGGCGACGGGAGTACCATGGAGGAGGCTGGGCCCCAAGTTCACTCAGTAAAGGACAAACCAACCCCCTTTTAAATGAAGATTCATTTGTGCTGAAAGCACTCTTTGAAGAACTGAGCTGGGTCTGGATGTAACCGGAAGCTGTCTCACTCGGTTTGTATACCCCACCCCACCGTACGCCAGCATCTTCCTGAGCGGGGCCTCCCTTGGATAATGTTGGCATCTGCATTAGGAGCAGCATATTTTCAGCTGTGAGAAACTAAGTTGCTTTGTGTTTCGCTCTGCTCCTGGGTTTTCTATGTTACCCTCTTAAAAATAGTTGCTTGCCAGGAGCACTTTCCCCAGATCCTCCCAAGCTGTAAACATAATCTTATATACTGAGCATTTTATATTACCCAAAGCTGCATATTAGAAACATATATATTTCTCCCTAGATATTTAGGCTGTATAAACAATACAAGTCATTCTCTCGGAAAACTACATACACTTTATATATTTTTGTACCAAAATGCCCCCCCCCAATTTCATCAAAGTTGATAAATGAGTACAGAAACAGAAGCTGAAGCCTAAAGACTAATATATTTAGTCTTCCTGATGTACTGTATGCCCGTTCACTCTCCACAATTAAATGACATACATGGAAATGTGCAATATCCCAAAGAAATCCTGACAGCTTTATTAATTTTGCCAACAGCTCACGGGGTTGTTGGTCACCGGGGGAATATTTACTGAATTTCTTGCCTATAAGAAAAGTTACATGTGGAATGGAAATTAATCACCATGACCCCAAAGGTGAGGATTTGAATTTTTACTTGAAATGTTCACGCTACATGAATTCAACAGCCCTTCCTTTCCAAATACTCCTTTGAGCAGTACCCACTTTGTTTAGGATATGATTTTCACATCCTGTTAGAAACACTTTCTCAGCTTTTCAAATGTGTTTTTGCAATGGCAATTGGGTCCCCGTCAGACGTCGCTCTCCTCCACGCCATGCACATATTCTGTGCAGGAGCAGGGGAGGTTTAAAAATTCTGAATCTTAAAATAAAGTTTCACCATAAAAAAATGGGAGTGATAGATCAGATAACGCCTGCTTCCTAATGATAATGAAGACAGTAAATAATTTTAAAGCCTTGGCAGCCTGTTTGTAAAAAAAAAATTTCTCATCTATCTTCCCCATATAATAAATCCACATTGTGCTTGAGCCAGCAAAAAAACTGTGTGTAATTTCTATTCTGTGGAGGTGTATTTTGGGCAAGGCAAACAAGATGCTGTCTTTTCACTGGTCCTGGGTTAGCACACAAAAGACAAAGTGTCTCTTGTCGGATGAATCCTAATTGGCTGACGGGGCTGAGTTTTATGGCTTCACTTCATCTGCACATGAAGACCAGGAGCATTAATATGCAGGGAAGTAAAACATGATATAACGTTCACAGAGCAGGAGTTAAAGGAAGAACCCTAACCCATCCGTCAAGTGTGATCATCGCAAGACCTGTCAAGAGCAAGTTTCAGCAAAAATACACCTGCTGCGTGGGAGGTCGCAGGGACGACATCAACCAAATCCTACACAAGAGACACATCGGAACCACCTTTGGACAAATGCACTGAAGTAAATGAGATTTTATGCAGCAGAGACCGACATATAAATCATTCTGAGGGCTTCCCAACTTTTTTTTTTTTTTGCAAGGTGAAATTTCACTCTCTCCCAGAGACACATGGAACCAAATCAGTGTCTGAAGTCTGAAGAAAAAATAAAATTTTATTCATAAATGCCCAGTGGTTGATTGAATCCAGTTTAATAACATGTTGACTCAGTTCTTCTAAATGGTTATTTTTAGTCACATAGACTAAAAAATTCTAACTGGTTTGCAGGCATGGTGACACTGGCCTAGCATAGCGTAAGATGCCACAAACTTTCCTCCAAATCTATAAATAAAAGCAGATATTGTAGGACAGAGGGTAGAGCTCAGTGGCAGAGTGAATGCCTAGCATGTGTGAGGTCCTGGGTTCAATCCCCAGTACCTCCATTGAAGACATAAAAATACAAACCTAATTACCTCCTCCACCCCAAAAAAAATACATAAAAAGTTTAAAAACCACTAAAAAAAAAAGTAGCCATTGTATCTGCAGATAAAAATAGCCATTTGTGGAGCCTTTAACATATACAAGATTCAGGAGATAAGAGCTGGTAATTACATCAGTCTTGGGAGTCAGTAACATTCTTCGCTTCTTTCATAGACGAGGAAATTAAAGTTTGGCGAGATTAAGCAACTTGCTCACTCATACAGCTGGTACAGACTGGAGCTTGGCTGTGGGACCCCAGGGGCTGAACTTGTAACCACAGGCAGTGTGCCAGGAGCAGGGGCAGCGGTGACAACATGGGACACATCTGAGACTCCGTGGTTCATCTCCTGGTGGCTATTGGGTCCTCCGCTTGGATATTGGACTTTGCATTGACCCAAATCCTGACTGACTCCATTCTTTTTACCATTCTCAGGCTGCCAACAGAAATGTGAAGGCTCATTAATTTTGTGTAGTCCAGCCAGAGCTGCTGGAGCAAGAGACAGGTCTCCAGCTCCCAAACCAGCCGTCTGTCACGGAAGTAAGCCAGATGGGACACTCGCTCTGCATCAGCCCCAATTTCACATCAGGATCCTTGACCCGAACATCATTTCCACTCACTGCATCGTGAAGCCCTGCCAGAGCGCCTTCTAGCTGCCCTCACTTGCTGTAATCTCTCCCAGGCACGTTGCCCTCCGTCCCCTCAGTCTGTCATCTCTGAATGCTTCCAGGAAGCACAGGCCCAGAGCGTCCTTTCTTGGGCTCTAAGAGCAACCAGTGTGAAGCGTCGTGATGCATCCGGACAGAAGTGGATGTTAGAGTGGCCATGTGTCCCCAGTGAACGTGAAGAGGATTATGATTCCCCTGGCACAGCCAGAGTCAGACTGTGCAGAGATGCCCCGCAGTCCATTTGGACCATCCCGGATGCTGAAAATGACACTGGGATGAGGCAGACCAGTGCTGGTGAGCAGCAGTGGAGTGACACAGTTTTCACGTTCTGGATTCCAGGTGACAAAGCATGTACAGGGGAGCTCTATTTGTGGTCCTTCCACACCAAGGTGAGGACAGGATGGCTGAGCAACCCCACAACTGTGGGAGTGGCTGGAAATGTTTATCCTCATCCTTGTCTGAAAACTTACATTCCCAAAACAGAATGAATGTGTTTCCAATTGAAGCACCTGGAGTGAGAAAGCCCCTGGGTTCACTAGCAACACCATTTACTATCTTTAAAAAAAAATTTTGGAAGGGAAGGCAATTAGGTTTATTTTTATTTATTTATTTAATGGAGGCACTGGGGATGGAACCCAGGACCTCGTGCATGCTGAGCACATGCTCTCCCACTGAGCTACACCCTCCCCCTCTTTGTAACACCATTTATGAGTGGGAACCAGGAGTCTGGGTCTCTTACGAGGTCTGTGCTACAAACACTCCACGTGGCCTGCATCGCAAAGTCAAATCCCTCATGGAAAGGAATTGTTGCAAACACTGTGAGACACACAGACACACACTCACAAACACACTCACACGATCATATTACAGAGAGATCCCAGTATCATGAAGGATGATAATACAGGACTGTCTAGGGCAGCCTTGGGCGTGACAGTTGTTGGATCTGCCCCAGCCTTTGAATTCATGAAGCCACAGGAGCTGGTCGGAGGTGATCATTTGGGACCTCACCGTTGACCAGATCTGGTTTCATTCCATCCCATCCTCCATGAGCCCAGTCTCTCTGCTTGATATTTGAAATTCAGTCCTATGTTTGGCCTCTTGCGTGTGGCTGGTACTGTATCCCTCAGCTATCTGATGCTAGGGTTTCCACGCGGAGCTCCGATGGGCTGACCCTCTGGCCGTCCACAGCCGTGCTGCCTCAGGAAGGGTCAGCTGTTCTAGTTCTGGTGTCTTGGACTTTAAGCCTGATGTCGATCACTGGCCATGATGCCTGGTGTGTGTGTGAGTGAAGGTTTAGGCATTACTTGGTTAACTCAAAGACAGCCCACTGAAGGATGGTTTCTGCGTTTTTTAGCAACAGTCCAATTTACGCAGTTACTTACAAGAACAGGTTCAAATATTTATGTGGGTGAAGTGAACCCATTTGTTAATCAGCCCAGAAGTCTCTCATCAGTGCCCACAGTTTGAGTATCTGGGTAGTTCCCGAGGGTGGACTGGGTTCCGTTACTCTGACACCGAGGGTTGAATATAGTCTTCCTGTGTATGGCACAGTGAGTTAGAATAAGGCAAAATGGCCTAATACATCACCCCTCTGTTGAGCACCTACTGGGTGGTGGACACATTTATGATCTCTAATCCCCCAGTAATCTGATATGAGAGACAATGTCATTTGCATTTCACAGAAAATGAAATTGGAGGAAGTACAGCGACTTCTCCAAGGGCATGGGGAGGTCGGTTGGCAGGAGCGGAGTCCAAAGGCAGGGCTTGCTGTCTGTGTACCCCGTGCTCTTTCTGGCATCACTTCATCTCCTGCAGGGGGACTTTGGGAACACTCTTCATGCACAAAGGAGAGTCAACGGAGAGCAGCCAGCCTCCAAATCATGAATGACCTTTGAAAAACTGGTCAGGATCACCAAGACGGGTCGGTCAGGAAGCCAATTAGTTTTTGGCAGGGAGTTGGGGAGGGAAGGTCTTTGGATTTTACCACAGGGACCCTGGAGCACACAGTAAGACAAATACACTGGTTCATGTTCTGTATATTTTAGAAACAACAGCTTCTGTCCACGTGACCTCTCCTGAACGACAGCACCGTCTCTCAGGACTTACTGCTGTGGACCTGTTCCCTCCATCGCCTGCCCCTTCCTGGATGGGCATTCCAGGCCACGTGCTGATGAATGGAACCTCCCTGCTTCCTGCTGCTGCCCAGAAAACTTTGGGGAAAATCCTATGCGATCCTCCATCAAAAAACCCAACAAACAAACAAACAAAAACACCCTAGCCTCATTTTGCTGACCAGCAAAATGTCTAGCTGCTTTACTAGAAGTAAAAGGGGACCAGGGAACACATTGTTAATATTAATATCTTAATGTCTTTAACTTGTAGAGGGATGTGGTATTCACATGCAATAGCCATGTTGGCAAAGATGATACTCCTCATAGGGAAACCTGCCATGTGGTCAGTCAAGCCACCATCACTTAGGGTTAGGGTCAGGGTTAGCGTTAGGGTTAGGGTCAGGGTCAGGGTCAGGGTCAGGGTCAGGGTCAGTGTCAGGGTCAGGGTCAGGGTCAGGCTTAGGATTAGGGTCAGGGTCAGAGTTAACATTAGGGTTAGGGTTAGGGTCAGGGTCAGGGTCAGGGTCAGTGTTAGGGTTAGGGTCAGGGTCAGAGTTAACATTAGGGTTAGGGTTAGGGTCAGGGTCAGGGTCAGGGTCAGTGTTAGGGTTAGGGTTAACATTCTATTTGCCTTGCACTGGATTTGATCTGTTTCTGCACAATTATTTTCTCCTTCTCGTGATGAATGGATTGATTCCACACTTTCCTATTATATGCCTTTCAAAAGCCATCTCACTTCTTCTAGAATGGCTGGACTATAAATAACCAATAAGCCACTGTGATCATCACAGGAACACTGAGAGCTGCATGGTCCAATCTTCCCGGGCTTCCTTGACCCTTTCAGTTAGAAAGTCCTGCTTAGGTCAAACCTGCAGCCCTCCAACTACAGATATAGCATCTTTTCTCTTATTCAAGAGTGTGAGAACTGGTACCTGAACAGCCTACGCTTTTGATAGCCAAGAAGGAAGGAAGTGTCACTTCAGAAATAGCATCGGATCTTCTTTATAAAACTAAGACTAGAGTTACCCTATGATCCAGCAATCCTATCCTGGGCATATATCTGGAGAAAACTCTAATTCAAAAAGATGCATGCTCCCCAATGTTCACAGAAGCACTATTTACAAGCACATATATACACACACATATACATACAATGGAATACTACTCAGCCATATAAAAGAACAAAATAATGCCATTTGCAGCAACATGGATGGACCTGGAGATCGTCATACTAAGTGAAGTAAGTCAGACAGAGAAAGATGAAAATCACATGTTATCACTTATATGTGGAATCTAAAAAAAAAAATGATACAAATGAACTTATTTACTAAACAGAAACAGACTCAGAGACATAGGAAACAAACTTATGGTTACCAAAAGGGAAAGCGGGGAAGAGAGGGAGAAATTAGGAATTTGGGATTTGAGATACTAACTACTATGTATAAAATAGATAAACAGCAAAGTCCTACAGTAGAGCACAGGGAACTATACTCAATATCTTGCAATAATGTATATTGAAAAAGAATATATATATGTGTATGTCTGTGTGTATAACTGAATCACTATGTTGTACACCTGAAACTAACACAACATTGTAAATCAACTGTACTTCGATCAAGAAAAAAGAGAGCTAGCATCTTGCCTGAAGCTCACACGTACAGAGTGGTCTGGTGACAAGGCAGACACTCCGGCAGGCAGACCATCAGTGGGTGGAGCATCTCCTGAGGAAGAGAGTGCTTGTTCCCACTGATCTGGACATGGGAACTCAGAAAGAGGCAAAATCTGTGACCCTACCCACCCGGGTGGGGAGAATACTGTTGCTGCTGCTACTTATTACTATCATCATTGTCATCAGTCATTACTGACATTCTTACATAAGTGGTGGTACCTGCCTCCTCTCAAAACTGACTCTTTTGGAGGACAGAGACAAATAAAAAAATAGAATAAAATGTGATATGTCCTCTTAAAAAGGCAGTTGTAGGAAAATGTGGTGGTGATTAATTCTGCTGGGAAGATATTTGTGTTTTAAAGATGTCTATATTTAAATGAGCTCCAATTGTAAGAAGGAAGAACAAATCTGACTCCATATTGGGTCTATTCCTTTAGTTCTAACTCTGTGCTCTGTTTCCTGTGCTTAGTCATGCCGGTTCTGCACCTTTTGTAAAAGAATGTTGCCTAGACCCTGAAATAGACAGCGGAGCCCATTCTCAAGGCTCTGACCTTTAAAAGTATAACACTTTTCCATTCATGTAGAGATAAAAAGTTGCAAGATGGAGAAGAACATGTGACTTATTGGAGGTTTACAAGAACATCATGACTTGACTTATGAGGACAGCTGCAAGAATGAAGGATTCTGACACCAAGAAGTTTGCAACAACCATCCACACTTCCTCCCCTTTTAGTATAAAAGGAGTCTGAATTTTGAGTTGGATGAGATGGTTCTCCAGGACATGAGTCCCCCATCTTTTCAATCTGTTTACTTTCCAAATAAAGTCATTATTGCTTGTCCTCAGCACTTTGTCTCCTGATTTACTGTCCTTTTGTGCAGTGAGCAGAATGAGTTTGGACTCAGTGACACAACTCAGGAAGCTCACTACCTCTTCAGTTGCTAGATGAACTGTTTTGTCCAATAAATGTGGACCCCAAGAATTTTAGATTCAATGTACATCACTATTCAGAATGACTATTTTATTTTTTAAATTGTCATAAAAAATTCATGATACAATGAACCCGTAACCCTTTCTAATGCTTTTATAAAATTATAATTTACTATGAATTCCATAAAATAAAATAGAAATAGAATTAGGGATACATCCCCACAGAAAAAGTAAATACAAGATAGAACTCCATCTCTTAAGATATTTACAAATGAGATTAGGAAAGGGAAAACTTCTTCAGTAAATACAATCATTTGTCAAAGTTAAGAGGTGAAAGTTGTACTCCATTTCTGTGCATGTATTGTGTGTGTGCAGCTATAATAGTATTGTATTTACCGCAAGTCAGATCTGTAGGCAAGGGATTCTGTTTTACATTGCCTGGTGTTTTAATTTCAGGATGTAGCTCTTTCTCTGTTAATGGGTGAATTAACCTTTCTTTTCAAACTCTAAGACTTAATCTATCTCATCTAAAGCATTTTGTATTATGGAACCTATAAAACTATGCTGGCTGGAGGCATTCCTGGTTATCGATATATGCATTTAAAATCATTCCACATTATTTAATTTCAAATGACCACAGGTGAAGATCTGCATTATCACAGGTGTCAGTCACAAGACAGTCTTAGGAGTCTTAGAGGTGAGTCTTAGAAGACAGTTACCATGCCATTCTCTTTGCCACTGTGTTACTTGTTTAGTGGAATTCCATTAAGTGAACCCTCTGATAGCGTGGCCTCGTATTTTCCTGGAATATTATGTAACAACCCGAGGGCCAATGTCTTCCTGAAGCGCAGCACACAGCAAGACTCAATTAGAACTTGTAGCCTTAAACGTACAGTACTGTTCATATTTTTCAAATAATGAAGGGTGAGAGAAGGTTCTGCATGTCTCAGACATCCAAAGATGCATTTTAGTGTCATCTTGCATTTGCCCAACTGCCACCTTGGAACCCATGTATAACAACATATTCACCATCTTCCAAATTAGGTATAATGAACCCTCTTTCCTCAGCGATGTCATTAATCCAACAATCACTGTCTTGAAATGCCTGTCATATCATCTTTGGTCATGTGCAAAGAGCATATTCTTGGAGCATCACTATGTGGCTAATCCTTGAAAACGGTTTGCTGGGAACACATTAATGAGGCATTGTACCTTTTTCTTTCCCCTGACAACTCCAGCTGCCTCCTTTAAGTTCATCCATTGCCCACACTTCAGGTCTCTAGCCATCCAGAATCATTGCATGACCGGCATTGCTGGTGGTGGGTGTTTTTCTCATGCCAAGCCATTTGCATGGGCCCCTTTTTGCTTGGGAGCTGATGTTCCTATGAATATGTGTGCTATATAAGGACAGCCTTAATGAGCTATGGGCAGAAGGTAATCCCTAGCAAATGCATAAATTGCATGGCTTTCAAGTCAAATTTATAATGATGGAGAAGTAATTTTAGAGAACACTTCAGTTTTATCACTGTGGAATGAAGCAACCAGGGCAAACAGTCAATGTATTACTATCGAAAATTTACTGTCTGCAAGGCAAAGTAGAGAGATGGAGATGCATGTCAGACTGGGCTCTGTCTTCCAAAACTGCCCTGTCCAGTTTCTTGGACAAGACTGGCTCACACGGAACAATGTTTGGAGGGATTACAACAAAACACAGAGAAGAATTGCTACGAGTCCTAAGAGATGACTCAACAGATGTGCAAGAGATCACTTCTACTTGAAGTCATTGATTCAGAACCATCATTGTGGGCTTGGGATGATGTCTGAACTGGATCTTAAAAGATGAGAGGAAATTTCCAGACGTGGAGATGTATATGGTGAAAGGACTTGGAGAGACTGAAGGAGAATTCCAGGTGACGGTGCTACCATGAGTAAAGGCTTAGACAAAATTATTCTTTAATAGTTCTGGAAGCCAGAAGCCCAAAATCAAAGTGTCAGCAGAGGCTTCTGGTACCTCTTAGCAACCCTTGGTGCTCCCTGACTTGTAACTGCATCACTTGGTCTCTGCCTCCATCTTTTTACATTCTTGCCAGTGTTAATTGCTGTCTTCTCTTCAATTTATAAGGAGGCAAGTCATTGCATTTAGAGCTCTCCCTAATTCTAGGATGAGCTCATCTCAAGATTCTTAACTACTTAACACTCACAAAGACCAGATTTCCAAAATAAGTCCACATTCTGAGGTCCCAGGTGGACATGAATTTATGGGGGTCATTATTCAACCCTCTACAAGTCTGTGTGCAAGTTAAAAAGTGACCAAAAAGGCAGTTTAAACTTGGAGCCCCTATACACACTTTCACTCAGTGGAAGAGTGATTTGGCTCCTCTGACGT